CCTTGTGGCCTTCCTTCCTCAGCTCCCGGGCCGCCACGAGCCCTGACGGACCGCTACCTATCACGCATACAGTTTTCGACATGGTTATCGAAGGCATCATGGCACAAGGACAATGAACTATTATGTTATAAGGTAATGTATGAGAAATATATGAGGGTGCATGGTGGGGTATTTATACTTGAAATGTTTGGTACAAGGACAATGAAATATTATGTTAAATAGTGATAGTTTACTAGCTAAGAGACTCCACGTGACAAAATCATTATCATTTTTGTTAGCATATGTCTCCATTAAGTTGAGGTTCTATTTAATTAATATTTTGTTGAAACTTGAAAGACACTTGTCAAAAATAAAAATAAAAATAAAAATAGATTTTCAACCACAAATATTGCATTAATATTGTTGAGAATAACGTTCTACATTGCAAGATTAACTTATTACGAAAATTAATGCGTTTTAATTCATGAGAAAGCGCAATGCGTAAATTTGTATGATTAAATTTGGGGTGAAATTTTAACTCATGACCTATATGTTTTATTAAAACCATTTCATCAAAAAAAAAAAAAAAAAAAACTAACGAGCAATAATCCAACGTTAGAAGAAGTTAATTTGTCGAAATATTTGACTTTTCCAGATTAAGTGAATTGAATGACATGATTGATGTGAATAATTGTTGGGCTTAGGCTCTGTCTTGTTCAATCTGGACCGTTGATATCCGTTGCCATGCTGATTGGATGTGAATCGATGGTTAAAAAAGGACCCAATTTGGCTTAATAAATAATTAATTTAATCCTAAGGATAAATACATAACTATTTGGCATTGCTTGTGTGGGTAAATTGTATTGGAAGTCACCCAATTTTAAAAAGTCCTAATCAAGTCATCAAATATTAATTTTATTCGAAATTCAGTCACTCTATTAGATGACGGGATTTTCTTTCATGAAAGTTAAAATCAGATGAAATGGCAAGCATGACCTACTTGGACCACGAAAATGCCACATCAATGAAATTTTTACATTACAAACGATTTCCTCAACCTGTAAGCACTTCTACTACATCATTCAAATGTTTATACTATATGTTCTCGTTTGAGCTCCTTTTTTTTTGGAAAAAAGAGATTTATAATAATGATTTTTTGAAGAATGTGTAATTAAAAAATAAGAAAAAATTTTGAAATTGCGTTTAAAATTATTTTATTGAAAAATATTTGATTGAAAATAAATTCCGAGAAAAATGAATTTTTGAAAAATGAGGTTCAAACCAGGACTATATTTGTATGCATACAACAATTGAACTTCATCTTATGTGACATTTCATTTAATTTTAACGTCCACATACCCAAATTTTATTAGAGTTTATCCCCTGCCAAGGCCAGTGCCTAGCGTCTTGTGATAGGTGGGCAGTAGGAAAAAAGGCCCTAACAGTGTAGAAAAGTCCATTTTATTATATGCATCCGACAGAATGATTTGATTAACTATAAAATCAAAGTTTAATTACTTGATTGAGACACTTCAAAATTTGGTGACTCTCAACTAATGTTTAGCCTTGTTTTTGTTGAAAAGTATGGACAAATTATGATCCCTAGGGCCGCCAATGATTTTCTTTTGGGAAAAATAGCAAGGTGGAGCCTCCATTTTTGTCGTAAATTTAATTATTTAACTTTTTTTTTTATTAGTATTAGTAATTGAATTGCACGTTTTCTATTCACTTGACACGTAAAAAAGTTACGTACAATAAAAGACTTAGTGTCCGTTTGATTGCAAATATGAAAAATGAGTGGAAAGAAAATATTTTACACGGAATTGATTTGCCTAGAAATTGTTTTATTGAAAATTGTAATTAATTGTATTTGATTGGTGAAATTTTTCATAGAAAATGTTGAAAGTTTGATATCCGTTTGATTTCGTTTTTTATGGAAATTGTTCATTAAAGTGATAACGTTTTTCTATCATTGAGTCTAGAATTTGTTCCAATTGCCAAAAAAACATTTGAAAAAATTTGAAAAAAAAATAATCATACCGAATACTATTCATTTGGCTTTGTTTTGTATTAAAATTGTCAATAAAAGTGAAATTTTTTTTACTATTGTGTCTAAAATTTTTTCAAATTGTAAATAAAAAAAACTGGAAAATATTTACCCACCAAAATATCAAGAATTTATTTTCCTCAAAAATGTGAGAAATTTGGAATGTTGGAAAATATTTTTCCGAGAAAATTTTGCATATCAAATATTACAAAAGTTGGAAAATAGAAAAACATTTCTATTTTCCATGGAAAATGTGTGCTATCAAACGGGGCCTTAGATTAAGAAATGATTATGTTATTCTATCATTTTCTACTGTCCTTCATCATTCTTAAACTGCCATCCCAAGAGTGATT